ATGCAGATCTTTGTGAAGACTAATGGCCTGTAGGTCCACGTGGAGACCAGAAGGCAAAAAACCCCGGCAAGGCCCTTGCCTAGAGAGGCTGCAAGACCCCCGGCAAGACGCTTGCCAGCGAAAATTGCGGGGCCACAGCCAGGCCCGCACCCGACAAGGCTTCGCCACCTCACGGCCGTTCCAGCATGACGACCAGCTTGCCAACTAGGCAGATGCCTGCGTGGCGGCATGCAGATCTTCGTGCAGGCTTTACCACCACGCCAGCACAGCAGCTAGCCAGCCAGCCTGGCGGCTGCATGCCTTGTCAGCCTGGACGCGTGTCGGAACGGGGTGAGGCGACGACGGACGGGACGAGTTCTGTTGCCGTCCCCGATAAAGTTAGAGGGCACGTAAGCATCGCATTAAATGTGTTTGTCGTATGATGTCAGGGATAAACTTGTACATTGTAGCTACTTTACACCTCCTGTGTGCCACTATGGCGACCCCTTTTGACATATAAAAGGAGGCTCCAGGCGTACTGGAGAAGGATTCAGACTTTTTGGACTGGGCATTCATAGCAGCTAGTCTAAGAACACAAGAACACAAGATATACACTAAAAGCAGGACTAGGGTTTTACACACCATTGCGGCCCGAACCTGGGTAAAAAACCCTCGCACTGATCACCAGGCCTGCTCTTTGCGCAACTCTTGTCCCCGCCAACCATAGAAGGGATCCTCGTGATCTCGTAGGTGTCGTTTCCCCGACACCTACCAAATATAATGGGACAAAAATTATCTTGTTCTGATCCAGGTACTAAGAATTAAGTCGGATATTTGATCTTACCACACAAGACTTCAACATATCTAACAATCCCAAGCGGTGAGACGGTATCCCTATTTGTAAGCTTAATAGTGACATATATCTCTTCTATCTCAGTAGGTGAAATATCATGCATAATTTCTTTATAGAGAGAAAAAGGAATGGCACTTATACTAGCACCCGTATCACATAAACCATGGTAGCAATGATCTCCAATCTTGACAGAAACAACAAGCACGCCAACAACTTATTCTTATCTAACTTATCATGTTCATTTCTAACAGGTTTAGTAATTCTAGCAGCTTCATCGCGGAAATAAATAATATGCCCATCAATATTATCAACCAAAAGATCTTTAACCATTGCAATAGGAGGTTCTATTTAAATTGTTCAGAGGGTTTAGGTGTTTTAATATTACTTTTATGAATCATAGTTGTAGCCTTAGCATGTTCTTTAATCCTTATAGGGAAAGGAGGTTTCTCAATGTAAGTAGTAGGCACAACAGGATTAGCAGTACAAGCAAATGTTTCAGTTTTAGCGATGTTCTTCACAAATATCTTTAATGGGTGGATGAAATTTAAACCACTTCTCCTTAGGGAGATCAACATGAGCGGCAAAGGATTCACAAAATATAGCTACTATCTCAAAATAAAGGCCATATTTTGCACTAAGCATATGAAAAACATCTATTTCTACAAAGGACTTAACACAATCAAATTCAAGATTTATACCTGACTCATTACCCTTGTTGATCTCCCAATCTTCAGAGTTGCATTTAATTCTTTCTATAAGATCGCATTTCAATTCAATACTTCTTTTTGAGAAAGAACTAGTAGAAGAAGAATCAAGCATTATTCTATCGTTGTGAAAGAGCCGAGCATAAAAGTTATGAACAATAATATCTCTGAAGAGCTCAGGAATGGGGCATTTGGGCATCATGTCCTTAAGCCTTCCCCAAGCTTGAGCGATACTTTATCCTTCACGAGGCCAATATATATATATATGGGCTATTCTGTTACGCGTAACAGAATAATATTCTGTTACCCTTTTTGAACTGGCATTTTCAAGTGGTTGTACTGATGTTTTCGAAGCGGTTGAACTGATGCTTTCAGTTGTGTTTAACAGATCGTCTTCTTTAGTTCAAAAACTTTTTGTAATTTTCTTGTCGGAACGGAGCGTGTAATATATTGTTGGAAAGCTCTTGACAACCATATTTCAAGTATATTGAACATTTTTGCAAAATCATTATGGTTTAAGAGCAGTTTTGAAAAAATCGTTTTTTTTCAAAACCGAAAACGTGAATCGTATTTTGGACTCAATTTTCAAACCGTTTGTCGGAATTGAGCAAATAAGATGGCCTTGGGAAGCTGGTGAAAATCCGCATCTTCCATATATGTATTATTTTTTCTAGTTCTATATGATTTAAAAGTAATTTGAAAAATGGTGAAATTCTGGGCAAAACGTAATTTCGCGATTTTTTGCAAACCGTTTGTCGGATTGACACAAATGATATGATACGGCGTTGGAAAGCTATGGAAAATGCGCAACTTTTTCGTATAGAAATGTTTTTCTAGTTCCTTACTGTTTAAAAACAAATTCAAATACGGTTAAATTTGATTTTGAACGCGATTTTTTTAAAAAGTTTGTCGAAACATGGCAAATAATGCGAAACTTAGTCATGTTGGATAGCTATCGAAAATGCGAAACTTAATCATGTTGAACGTTTTCTCTACTTCGCAACCGTTTAAGAGTAATTTAGAATACAGCATGACGGATCTTGTTGTTTTCTTGTCTGAAAAACAGAGTAGTCGTACTGATATATGTGTATGTTTGTACTGAGCTATTTTTTGTAGAGTAATTGTGAATGGTTTCAAAAAAGGGTACTTGTACTGATGCTTGCATGAGTTTGTACTAAGCGTGTTTTCACTAACTAGACTTTGCTCTGTTTTTTGGGTAATATTTTTCTCATTAGTTTTCAACGATTTACTATATCGTCGCCCCTGTACTTGTATGGTTTGTATCATCGAACTGAATTATATTTTATTCAAAAAGAAAATATGTTTGTTTTGTTTTTTTTTAACTCGACATTTTTTTACAACGTTGTTCTGAACTTCTCTCATTTTACGACTTGTACTGAGGTACTTACTAAGCGGGATTTTCATGGGGTTTCTTTTTTTGCTTGAACTTTACAATTTGAATTTCTGTCATTTCTTTTATTCAGAACGGATCACCGTTTTTAACTCGTATTGAGGTACTTACTACACCCGGACTGGGGTGGCTGTCGTGTGTCTCGGTGTGTTTTTTAACAAGAACAAGCAACCAAGTTTTTCAACGAATTTGAGAGAGAAGAAAGAAAGAGATCCACGTGGGGTTGTAGTGAAGAGGGCGGCTCCCGCATCATCAGTCTGCCAGTGCAAGATGAGGAATACAGCAGGTCACAAAGAGGGCGGCTGTCTGCCTCGACATCGTAGTCCCTGTCGAACTGCTAGAGATGGTGCCACCCGGCGGTGAGCAGAACCTCCCCACAAACCACGGCATATTTTAAGTTTTTATTCTGAACGGACCACCGTTTTTAACTCGTACTGATCAATATTTTTAATTCAAACCATTTTTCCTTTCATCATCTCACAGAAATTGTTTCCACACATATAATACATGTACATAAATCATATTATTCATAGCACAAAAATCATCGGCCTATTCCTGTACAGAACTTTCAAGCACCCACATGAATACATGTACTTCCTGTACCATCTGTTTTGAACTTTGAAAGAAGCTATAACATATGTTTCCCAAATGTGTACAGAATTTTAAGTTTCCAAGCATATACCGTTTGTTCCTTTTTGTTGATGGGCACCTGCCCCTACTCCTGTGGACTGACAGTGCCGCGAAGTGGAGCTGAAGGAGAGGGGATCACGAGCGGCGGCTGGGTGCACCAGGATTTGGCCGCTTTAGGGGATCCCAGCTACCACCAAGTCATCCTCGAGGAGCTTGTAGAGGCAGGGAAGTTGGTCACCGGTCATCTGGTGTAAGTTTGGACTACCAGGTGCACAATCCAGTAGCATTGAATGTCCCTGCTTCCCTGTAGTATTCTACTAGCGCTTGGTCCCCTCAGTCATTCTTCCACGATTGTCAGTAGATGTACTCTGCAATCGTTTCAAAGCCTAAATTATCTGGCAGAACACCATTCAAGAAAAGATTTAACATGCATTCAACCCATGAGTGCATTATTAACAGAAAAAAGTCTCACATGGTTTCCTTTGTTTCATCATAGGTTTTGACTCATACAATGTTTTGCTACAGGCCTATAAAGATTCAACAACAATGTGACATAGCTGGCATGGTCAGCACACTAAATGCCTCGACGAATTGCACTCGTTCAGTACCCAAATCAAAAAATTGGAGGCTAGGAAGAGGCAAAGTCAACCAGCCACAACACTAGTTAGGAAACACTTCATACAGGTACAAGAGAGAGAGAGAGAGAGAGAGAGAGAGAGAGAGAGAGACTAACCATTTGCGTCATTGAACGGCCTCAGTTGGCAGTGATGAACGGACTAGGGTGGCGGCTGTGAACAGCCTGGGAGCTGCGGCAGGTATGTAGTAAATCAGGTCTTTAAAACTTCAGTCCAAGCTACACATTTCAGTCAGCAGTTGAATTAATACTCACAGAAGACTGAAGAGTAATTTGTGGAAGATGAGGGGCTGACCTGCGGATCCCATCGGCGAACTGACAAACTCACAAACGAATCATTTCTTTTATTTAGAACTGATCATTGTTTTTACTCTGTACTGATCAATGTTTTTAAATCAAACCATTTTTTCTTTCTTGCACACAAATTGAACTGGCATGTACACTTCTGTTTTAAGAAGTGCACATTCACAAAGTTCATACTTGTGGAATTAAAAACTTCTCATTTTTGTTTAGCATCTAATGCAAAAAAATAAATTGCTTGGAGTAAACCAGAAGCACAAAAGGAGCAGTAGCCGATGCATCGAACTTCCTACTTCCAAGCTCACTTTTTGTTTTGCCCACCTTTCATTTTTGTACTTGTTACAGGTTATTTTTTGAACTTACATGGCAGTAATACATGAATTCTCCCTATTCAACATCGTTCAAAATCAGAGAATCTTAATAAAACTGCCATTTGCCAAACGCCTCCACAGTTTTACCAAAACTGAGAAAAAACTAGCTTTTTAGAAACTAAAGAATTTGCCCACACATTAAAATATTGAGGTTTTGTAATACTATGGTTTTGCAAAAACTGCGTTGCCAAACTAATAAGGTTTGGAAAGTAACAGCGAGGGAATGTACCTCTGCCTTCCTTTGTGCCCTTGCTTTTCCCTCTGCCTCTATGCCATCGAGTTTCAGCGGCTGCACCATAAGCAGCTCTGTCAAGACAACAAATTCTTTCTCCTCAACCTTCCTCCCTGCACGAACACTCTTCTCCAACTCACACACCTATTACATAACAAAAATAAATTAGATGCATCAGTACATTTGTTAACCTGCAGCATTACTAACACAAGTAGGACTGAAGCATTCAAGTTTACAAAACTTCTCTTGCCCATCTAATTATTTGCACACAATCAGCACAGCGTTGGAATCTTTTAAATTCAATCATCAAGCGCCTCTGGACAATTATCCAGCCTTATGCTATAGAAATCTAACCTGCAATACCAAAACACTATTTAGTACAAAGGCCAAAGTGTAGAAGAGACTACTAAATGAACACAAATACCATCGCCTTGATTGAACCCTCCCACGATGCTAGATAGAATAGGAAAGTTGTTGCTAAAGTTAGTTTTTGAACTGCTGCTCACGATGAAAGAGGAGACGAGACCCGAGAATGCCGCTCGCGATGAAATAAAATAGATCTTTGTTTAGGCATTTTAAGCAAACACTTGTTGGCATCAAGAAAACAATTGACTGACATTTATAGCAATAAAAGCGATGGTACAGAAAAATTGAACTCATGTTTTCTGTCATTCCGACAAACCTCCAGCATATAAGTTTTTGAACTGACAATACCTGCTACCAAGTCTCTCGAGAATTATTCAACAAAACACAGAAAAGTGAACAACATTTTTTTTATTTAGCAAGTGATATGTAACTAGAGTAACAAAGCTGCCAAGCAAATGCACAATATTGTTGAGTAACACGTGAAGTGGATGTACGCATGCCTTGTAGTGTAGGGTTGTACTGACACACTCAGCATCAGGGAATTTCCAACTCGCACAAGATCGAACTGCACCAGTTCGCTATGCGAAGGCCGGCTGCCTGGCTCATCTTCGTCGAACTGAACCCCGCGCTCCCTATCAAACTGCTGTAGGTTGTTGTGTGGTGGAGGGAGCTACTTGCCTACTTCAGTTCACAGTCTCCTGGATCGGCAAGGTGCCCAGTGACTAACTGAGGCGGCGACCCATGCATCTGGGTGGGAGGCAGAAGCAGCGTCGGCCGATGGAGGCGTGGCCGAAGCGAGGTCGCCGACTGGAGGTGCGGTACTAGGAGTACTGCCGGTAAAGGCAGAAGGAAATTATGGAACAAGTATTATCTGCCAGCAAAATAGAGCGTCTCCTTTTACTTCTGTCCCACTAACTCTCTTTTTCTTTTATCTTTTTTCCTCAAACTTCCACCGGTGAACCTGGAGTTACCTGCTTTTATAATTTGAACTTTTTCAGAATAATTTGCGTAAAGAAAAGCAGAGCAGTGTCCGCAAGTGATTGCGTGATTGAAAGGTCTGAATAACTGGCTGCAGTTCCACAGCTTGCCTCAGGCACAGAGGCATCCCTGAACTTGGCTGTCCACGGCAAAGTACCTGAACTTATCATACACTGCGTACCTGAACTTGACGTCGAGGAGTGGGGAGGGGATGCAGGCCGGTGCGTGAGGTTGGCGACTGTGGTGGGGCGGAGGTGTCGGACACACGACGAGGAGCAGGACGACGCGCTATGGGGGCGGCCGCCAGCGGGTGGGCAGAGCGTCGGTGTGGTGGTGGTGGGAAGAGAAGTTGGTGGTGGCAGAGGTGAGGGGAACCAGTGGCGTGGTGGTAGCAGAGGGAACGGGGCGATGGTGGTGAGACGGCGGGTCGCCGGGATGGTGGTGGGACGGCCAGAGGTGGGAGGCGGGGGCGCGGCGCATCGCTGGGAGGCGGGGGGCGGCGCGTCGCCGGAGGTTGGAGGCGGGGGGCACGACGCGTCGCCAGAGGTTGGAGGCGGGGGCACGGCGCGTCTCCGGAGATGGGAGGCGGGGGGCGCGGCGCGGCGCCGGAGGTGGGAGGTGGGGGCGCGGCGCGGCGTTGGAGGTGGGAGGCGGCGGGGTGCAGCGCGGCGCCGGACGTGAGGCTGGTCACAGTGGGGTGGAACTTAGGAATAACATCACACATTTCAATACAACTTTGCTTATGTGGCACGTATTTAATGAAGAGAGAGGTGCTTGTGGTAACTAGCTAAGTTACCGGAACATCACACACTCCAAGAAACAATGAGTCTATAACCTAACAAATACATCATTGCATGACACTACATAGATGTTCCTACCCACTATGGAGGTAGTAACATAGTCTAGGGAAATGTGTAAGTTACTAGGTTATGTTCTTGCCCATTGTGACCAGCCTGAGAGGTGAGTCGCCTGGGAGTTGAGGCCGGCGGCGCGTGTGGAGTGGTCGGGATCGAGGGAGATACGGGTGGGAACCATGGGGTGAGTGGGCTATTTGCCTTTTCTCTTTTCAAGCGGGGAAATCACCGTCGTACTGTATATAGGGCGGAGGGGTAACAGAATAGTTACTGGTAACAAAATAGCCCTATCCTATATATAGCCTATACCATGCACCTCTTCCATCCAAAGAAAGGGAATAATTTCTTCTTAACTCCATTCCCTGATAAACCTGCAAGCTTAAAAAATCCACAAAGTTCATCCATATAGATTAAGTGCATATCATGATGTATTGTTCCGTCTCCAAGATAGGGATTAGCATGCAATTTTTCCATAATAGAAAAAGGGATTTCATAATAAATATTTCTGGTAGGTTGAGGAGCAGATCTTACCACTTCCTCTTGAGGTGAAGATACCCCGAACAAGCCCCTCAAAGGATTATCTTTCATAGTGACAAGTGAAGATAAAATTCAACATATAGTATAAATGTTTCCTTACCAAATTCCACTTACCAAAAGCGCTTCACTCCCTAGAAACGGTGCCAGAAAAGAGTCTTGATGACCCACAAGTATATGGGATCAATCGTAGTCCTTTCGATAAGTAGAGTGTCAAACCCAACGAGCAACAAAAGGAATCAATAAGCGGTTTTCAACAAGGTATTCTCTACAAGTGTTGTAAAGTGGTAGTGGCAGGTAGTTTGATAGCAAGATAATTCATAGTGAGTAACAAGCAACCAAAGTAACAAAGTGCACCAAGGTGGCCTGCTACTTGTGAGCTGCGTTAGGATTTCCTCGAAGAGGAGAGGATGATGCAGTACAGTAGAGATAAGTATTTTCCTCAATTATGAAACCAAAGTTATAAATCTAGTAGGAGAACCAAGCAACACTACGTAAACAGCACTTACACACAAACAATAAATACTTGGAACCCAACACGTAGAGGGTTGTCAATCCCTCAACGGTTATGTGCAAGATTAAATTGTATAGGTTTTGATAGATAGATCTGACAAAAATACAAAATAAAATAATAAAATAAAATTGCAGCAAGGTATTTTTGGTTTTAATATGTGATAAATATAGACCGGGGGCCATAGTTTTCACTAGAGGCTTCTCTCATAAAAATAGCATACGGTGGGTAAACAAATTACTGTTGGGCAATTGCTAAAAAAGCAAATAATTATGACCATATCCAAGGCAATGATCATGTATATAGGCATCATGTCCAAGATTAATAGACCGAAACGATTTCTGCATCTACTACTGTTACTCCACACACTGACCGCTATCCAGCATGCAACTAGTGTATTAAGTTCATGGAAGAACGAAGTGATGCTTTAAGAAATATGACATGATGTAGACAAGATAAACTCGCGTGTGAATAAACCCCATCTTGTTACCCTTAATAGCAATGATACATTCGTGTCATGTCCCTTTCTGTCACTGGGATTGAGCACCGCAAGATCAAACCCATCACAAAGCACATCTTCCCATGGCAAGATAAATCAATCTAGTTGGCCAAACCAAACCAATAAATTGGAGAAGAAATACGAGGATATAACAATCATGCATAAATGAGTTCAGAGAAAACTCAGATAATATTCATGGATAGATCTGATAATAAACTCACAATTCATTGGATCCCAACAAACACCCCGCAAAAAGTCATTACATCAAATAGATCTTCAAGAACACCGAGGAGAATATTGTATTGAAGATCAAAAAGAGAGAAGAAGCCATCTAGCTACTAACTATGGACACATAGGTCTGTGGTAAACTACTCACGCAACATCAGAGGGGCAGCAAGGATGATGAAGAAGCCCTCCATGATTGTTTCCCCCTCTGGCAGAGTGCCGGAAAAGGCCTCTAGATGGGATCTCGTGGTTCTGGAACTTGCGGTGGCGGAAAAAGTATTTCATGGACTTCCTCATAGGTTTCTGATTTTAGAGTATTTATAAAGGCGGATTTAGGTCAAACGGAGGCTTGTGTGCCCCACTAGGTACCAGGGCGTGCCACAGTCCCCTGGCGTGCCCTGGTGCCTAGTGGGCCACTCCTTCATCTTCTCGTTCCCTCCCAAAGCTTCCAGGGTCTCTTATTGCCAGAAAAAATCTCCAAAAAGTTTCGTGGCATTTGGACTTTGTTTGGTACTGATATTCTGCAGTCAAAAACAAGCAGAAAAACAGCAACTGGCACTAGACACTAAGTTAATAGGTTAGTCCCAAAAATTGATATAAAGTTGCTTATAAATGTATATAAAACATCCAAGATTGATAATATAATAGCTTGGAACAATCAAAAATTATAGATACATTGGAGACGTATCATGGCCCAATCCTTTTATTGCAAGGACAAGCCAAAAGTATTTCTTATAGAGAGCAAAGCGTTCTCGAGGACATATGGGAATTTTGTCTAGTTAACTTCATCACGATTCACTGACTCGCATTCACTACTTTGATAAATTATTATGTTGGTGGACCGGTGCTAAGGTGTTGTTCTTACTTGAATAAGCAACCTACTTATGATTACCCCCTCTCACAAGCATCCGCAACTACGAAAGAAGAACTAAAGATAAATCTAACCATAATCTGAACGTATGATCTTCCACCAAGTAAACCAACTAGCATCAACTACAAGATGTAATCAACACTACTAGCAACCCACAGGTGCCACCCTGAGGTTTTGAGACAAAGATTAAATACAAGAGATGAACTAGGGTTTGGAGATGAGATGATGCTGGTGAAGCTGTTGATGGAGATGAGTCCTCCCATGATGAGAGGAACGTTGGTGATGATGATGGCTTCAATTTCCCCCTCCAGAAGGGAAGTATCCCGGGTGGAATCGCTCCACCAGAGAGCAAAAGTGCTCCTGACCAGGTTCTGCCTCGAGATGGCAGTGCTTCCTCCTAAATGTCCTCTTTTGATTTTTTTTTTCTAGGGCAAATGGCTTTGTATAGGAAAAAGATGGGCCCCAGAGG